TTTATGAATATACGTAAATCCCTAGTAAAATGTCCATCTTGTGGAAAAAACCTTTTCAATTGGAAGACAACGACAAACTATCAATGAATAATGCCAATACCGTAGCACTAGCTCTCTCTGAAAAAACTCCTCTAGATACAAGGCTTATAAGTCGATATTTGTAACTAATAGTTCATCAGAAACCCAGTTATATAAGATAATAATATGATGTCTGTATACACAACATGTATATCAGAAATAAATGGCAACAAAATTAAAACGACAATTCAAAAGAAGGGTTTAAAAAATAAATTTCTTTTAAGTTACAAAATCTCAATCATCGAAAGCAAATAACAATTATGAGACTGATATTAAGAGTTACCACAATCATTATTTACGAACCATTTATTTGTAATTACAAGTTTTTCTTCTATTCGAATTTGATTAAATTCGTAATCACAAGTTTGAAAAAATGCTGATTATGTCTAAAAAGAGTCAAAATATACAACAAATTGGAAAACACACATTCTTCTTGAAATAGAATGAATCTGTTATACAATAATTTCAAAATATTTATAAATCTGTATACAATATTAAAATCGTTTATTAGAAATAAGTGCTAATTAAAAAAAATTCAAAGCCATATCTAAATACATTTTCCAAAATTTCCATTTAAAATTTCTTAAGCCCATTTATACAGATTGAAAACGACATTACAGATATAATGAATTTGTTAATAAGATTTTCAAAACTGTTATTCCTAACTTAAACCAATTCTTACCAAATGAAAAAAATCGCTTTTGTCCAAATTACATGAATATTTGATAAAGTGACTCAAAAACTTCCTTTGAATAAAAATAAACATATCATAACAAAATAAGAATTTCTCCCAATTTACTCCCATCTTACTTTCAATAGTTCCCAAGCGTGCTTTGGTGCATTAAAGATATAAATATTTCACCACGGAACAATTCTTCCCTAATGGGATAAAATAAGAGATATCCATTACCAGTGATTGTTTCAAGCAATAAAGATTTTCATTTTAATAATAATAAAACATCTTCCATGTTTCCAGCTCTCAACTGCAATGGCTGGAAAACAAAGGGACTATTAGATAGTCAAACTGCATTAGTTGAACCAATTGCATCTAACGGTATTAAACTACAAGCTGTCGAGATTTATTGCGATATGGAAATGGAAAATGGAGTTGGAGTAACTGTAATAGGTATGTATTCGACACAAGTAAATGACCGGAAGAACATATAGTCTCACATAAGAATCAACAAGTTTTCTTATTAAGGTTTCCACCTTCTCATTAATATTTCATAAATACCACAATCTCTACATTTTCTAAAATCAAAGTAAAACAAGCTTTCTTGTACAAGGCCATGGTTTTATTAAACAGTTTATGATGTTTTTTAATTTGATTTGTACTGATTGAAATTTTTTGTCAAGGATACCATCATTTATTTTCTGTCAAATTTGGTTTTTGTTTATTGTTTTAAATTGAATTATGCCGTTGGTAGTCGTTTGAATTATGTCACTTTTTTGGTTTCTTTTATATACTTCAGGTGACCTATAATTAGTTTTGGTAGATTATTTCTCTTTTTACATAATGTAAAGTTTGAACTGCCAGTAAATTAAAGTATGATTTATTTAAATCTTTTATATCGTTTTCTGCATATCTTTATTTCAGTTCCAACAAATATTTGTTATCAACAGAAGGGGATTCAAAAATTGAAGGGCATTTAAAGTTTCTCTGAATTATTTTTATTTTAGATATTTTCAAACCTCAAATGTAATATATAAAAATTAAGAGATATGGTATGATTGACAATAGACAATTATCCACCAGTGTTTAAATACGTGGATTCTGTATAAGCAACTATAGGCTACCGTAAAGCCTTCAACCATGAGAAAAATCCGTGTAATATAGTTAGCTCTCTATATAATAGAAAAAAAAATATGGGTATCAATCCATGACACCAAATCAGTACATGCACTGCAAAAAGACTAACAAAAATCAAAGGAACAGCGATATGTTTATTTTTATGATGAAACCTTTTTCATAGACTCGGATCGTTTGACTTATAGTGGCTAGAAATTCTATAATATAATGATCATACTACTACTACTACAACTACTACTACTACAACTACTACTACTACTACTACTACTACTACTACTACTACTACTACTACTACTACTACTACTAATAATTATAATAATAATATTAATAAAAATTATAATAATAAAAGTTATATAAAAAATGAAGACATTGTAGGTACATAGGTTTTTCTTGGTAAAATAGGTCAGAACAATCAAGGTAACTGAAAGAAACTAAAGTATGTTTTGTACGAAACCATTTGATCCCTCTTATTATTGTGTTCATTCTATCATTTACATTATGCTACTCCTGATTTTATTGTTATTTTATTTAATCGGTAAACTGTTTTTTTTTTATTACATGCAAATTTCAACACCATTTTACAAGATAACAGACACCTTTAAGTTTTAAAATGAGAATTACTTTTGCCATTATTAATGTTTTAGCAAATGTAAGTTTTACAAATATTCCGTACTGAAAGTTGTACATTTAAGTGTAACGTAATCTATGTAAAAATATTGTTTATGTTTCCAGATCATGATGGAGAGCGAGATGTATCCGTGCATGGTTATGAGGGACATGGATCCTACAGTTATATCGTTTCATATGATATTCCTTTCGAGCACGTTGTTGCAATAATAGATTCATCCGAGTTTTGTCGACAGTTTGTACGCTGGAAATGTAAAGATGCTCAAATGTACGATCCAGGAAATCAGAAGTGGAATACGTACTGGACAAATCGAAGCACAGCGTATTTAGCAACCAATGAATACAAACCACCTTCTATTTTTTTTCACGGATCTGAAGTAAGAAGAATTTGTGACTGTGGAATTTCTGACACCTGTCAGCGGAGCGACGTGCTCTGCAATTGCGATATCAACGATGGCATTTGGCGATCTGATGAAGGATACGTTACAAACAAGGATGCTTTGCCAATAGTCGCTTTCTTTGCAGGGGACACAGGTAAGGGGAAAAATTACTAAACAATGATGATTTATCACCATAGGCAATAACTTAATATTGTACATTGTAACATAAATATATTGTTTATCTCGGCAATCTAATTTTCTTTGAACAGAGAATAGCATCAAAAATTGTTAAAGATGATGATTTGATCGATTATATTTAATGTCACATTCCAAAAATGATACCTAAGGTCTGTGAAATTTATTGCTATACCAAAATTACAATGGTAAAACTAATTATTTGCGGGAACCTCCAATAGGTATATGTCTCATGGCGGTTAGTGAGAGTGAATAAGAAGGTAAATCTACTGAATATACCTTTGATACTGGATATTAATTGTTAACGAGCTAATTTTCGCGTCTTTTGAGAATAGAAAAAAAATTAGAAGAATTTAAGTTGTCGTGAATATGTTTGAATTGAAATTTCCTAAATATTGGTACACCACGAACATTTTAAAAAAGTCGGCTAGAAAGACCTTAAACGCGAAATATATAGTATAGGAAAAAATGATTTACGGCATATCTTATGTATTGTAACGATTTCGCCCCTTTAAACCGAGTGGTAGGTTAAATTGAATAAGGAGGCTCGATCGAACATAATTTGCATGGATCCTTTGAGTTGGAATAAGGTTGAAATAATAACTAAGTCAGGTATAACTTTCAGATGTACTTTATGTAGCATCTATATAATCAAATATTTACAATTCATCACAAACTATATATTTATATTTATATACAACATGCCGTAATCATTTATAATTTAAAGGTCAGGAAGGTTGACTTGAAATTCCAATAAGGTTGATTGTTTCCGTAGGTTGATTTGGAAGAAGGTTGAACTTTTCAACCTTCTTTTGCCGATAGTATAAAATACTTATAAGGGTTGATTTAATAAAATATTCATATATATATTATTTCTTTCCGCTAAAATGAAAGTAGATTTCCAGAAAACCTCTCTCCTATTATCATAACGATAGAAGGTTGACTAAGTGGAACGACGGTTGACGGGACTTTCCCATAGGTTGAAGGTTGACTTGTGCAAAACAAACAACAGCCATGTGCAGAAGGTTTAGTTTTCTTAAAACATTTAAAACCTGCGTACCAGACTTAAGGTTGACTGTGGCTCAGACATATTTATAATAAACCAGGTTGACTAAAATGGAAACGACTAAGCTAATTTTGTGACTGCTCTTGCAGACGATGAGAATAATTCTGAAGTTCGTTTCATCAACCTTCTATTTATAATTTTTGGGTCAGTAGATCAACCAATCAAAACGTTTGTTATGTAAACAAGCAATCTCGTGTAATAAACCGCCAATACACAACTAATATGGCTGCTCGAGTAAATAGATTATGGCACTGTTGGAATTTAGATGATTACGGCTAAAACACAAGTTATTATATTAAGAAAATAAGTAAGTTAAAAAGGTAAACACATTCCGATATCATCTATCATAAACGTACCTGCCAACCAACCGTAAATATTCTGTACGAGGTGAAATTCCATCGTAAAAACAGCGATGTAAAAGCGTAAACAAAACAGCTGATTCGTAAAATTACTACTATAAATTACGGACAACACAGCCCTCCGACCACTAGGCGTTTGTCCTCGAATGCACAGATTTCCATCTATACATGTTTTAAATTAATCAATTAATTGGTTGGTTGGCTGAAAATTGGAAAAAGAAAATTTAATAAGACCAAACTGTCTTACAATACCAAATTCATCCTATACACTCTAACTTAAAACTCATCTATTCACATATCAGTAAATGGGTTATGAAAATTCAACAACAAATCTCCAATAGCACTATCAATGGATATAAAATCCATAAATATATAACAAACTAATAAACAATACCTTCTACTATATGTGAATAAATAAGCCAATACTGGACAGTAAAACCTGAGAAAAGAAAAGGATAAAATATACTTCATCAGTCATAAAGACTTCATTGGGCTTTTCTAAGGTAATACTGTACTGCATTAAGAATACCTATCATCATTATTCATAATAGAATTATTTAAGTAACACACACATATATATATAATATCCACCCCCCAATGTTCATCACATGATCCTTTAAAATAAATTGTCCTAATAAAATCCACCCCCCAATGTTCATTCCTAAATCAAGCTGAGTTGCTGCAGGTCCAAGATCTTCTTTTGGACGGCGAGTTCCAGGTGTCTCAATTCATAGAAGTTGCATTCCACCTGCAACTCCCGTAAACTGCGTATATCTCTGGGAAGCATTTCAGAATGGGTCCGGGCCTGGTTCCTTAAATAATTTAAGATGAGGGGGAAATGTTTGGCATCACGATCCAAAAAATAAGTATGGCGCCATCAAAAATATAAGGCTTTACAGGAGAGTCTTCCTTGATCATTGCAGATAATATGGACTCTGGACAGGATTGAAAAACTGTGGCTGAGGCTCTTCTGTATTTGCTCCAACTTTAATTTCTTCACTGGGGTAGGGGTGTAAATGGCAGCAGCCTTTCTCAATTCAGATGGGGAGAGGAGTTCCTGAGTAGGGGAATAGGTTGGACAAGGCTGTGTAGCTAACGGGATACATAAACTAGTGGAGGTGAGTGGTGGTTCCAATGATGGTAGTTCCACAACAGAGACATCAATATTAGGGATGGCTGTATCAATATCGGGAACGGTTATAACAGGGATGTCTGTATATGGCATATCAGGATCGGGGCTGGTCTTGCAGGGATCACTTGGCAGAGGAGAAATAGGTTCCACTACCGAAGTGAAACCCACAATATCATCCAAAAAAGTATCCTCCTCCGGATCACATAGTGAAACTTCCTTAAGACTTCCCACTGAGGAATTCTCCATCTCCTTCCATAAATTAGAAAGTACCTCTTTCTGCTTTTGCACCGACTCCTTCCTGTTCTCCTTTAGCTTCTCATCCTCTTTCTTACTTGCCCTCTCCTCCTTCTTCTTCTCCTTCTTCTTCTCCTTCTTCTTCTCCTTTTCTTCTTTCTTCTTCTCCGTCTCATCCTCTTTTCCTTTCTTACTCTCCTTCTCCACTTCTTTTTCTTCCTTCCTTCTCTTTTTTTCATCCCTCTTCTCCTTTCTCTCCCTTTCTTCCTCTGGTGTTCTCTTCTTCTCCTGCACCTTCTTAACTTCCTTCTTCTTTTTCTCCCCTCCATCCCCAAATACCATATTATTCTCCACATACAAGTTCCCAAGTACTGTCCTCTGCTTCTTTGTCCCCTGGTCCTGTTCCTTCCTGTGAGACCTCTTTTTGCTATCTTTCTGCAGCTCCTTTTTTTCTTCCTTGTCCACTTTCTCCGTTATCATTTTTTCCTCTCTCTGTCTTTGGAACAGAAGGAATTGATCCTCCTCCTCTTTGGTACAAGTCATTGTTGTCCTGTTGATTAACTTCAACATTCCCTCACACTTCTTGTGGGCAGCTCTACGGCTGACCACCAACCTACACTCCTCACACCTCCAACCAAACCCACTATGTTGTTCTGTCATATGCCTTTTGCATATTATTGAATGGTTGAAAGTGAAATCTAGGCAAATTCCACAGGTATTACTGTGACCTGCAATTATAAAAAGGAACATTTCCTTTAAAATCTCGCTAATTGATTTTATATATTTCTATAAAATAACTAAAAACTGTACTATACTGGATAGATATATGGAATTTTAGGGTTTCACTTCCCCTCATATCCATCATATCTATTTAAACCAACTTGGAACATTTTCCCCAAGATAGAGCTTCAACCTGTCTTGGTGCACTACTTTAGGTTTGGTCTTTGGACCTTTCTGTATACGATATATCACATCATTAAGTTTATCTACCACAATATATGGACCTTCCAAATTATTTTGTAATTTTGGACACAACCTCTTTACACGACGAGGATTGTGCAACCACACTGGATCTCCTGCATCAAATTTCTGCATTTTTGTTGAAATGTCATAATTTCTTTTCATCCTGTCGCTTGACAGTTTTAATTTATTTCGTGCAAATTGATGAATTACCTCTAACTTTTGAGATAATTCATATGCATAAACAGTTTTTAAATATAAAGGTGACTTTTCAGTCTCTGGTCTACCCAGAATTAAATTAACTTCTCTTCCAAATAACATGGAACATGGAGATGTACCCAAACTCTCATGTTCTGATGACCGATAGGCCAACATTAATAAATAAATATATTCGTCCCAATCTCTTTGGTGTTTGCTTACAAAGGCAGATAACATAGTTTCAATAGTTGAATTCGACTTTTCAACCATACCATCCGATTTTGGCCGGAATGGTGTTGTACGGGTTTTATGAATAACCAAAATATTACACATCTCTTTAAACACATGAGACTCAAAATTAGACCCTTGGTCTGAGTGAATAGAAAGAGGAACCCCAAAAATGGTTACTATTCTTTCTACAAATTTCTTAGCAACTGTAACTGCTTCAGTGTCTGGAATAGGTATGGCTTCCGTCCATTTGGAAAAATAATCCTGAACTACCATTAGATAGCGATTATTATTCACACTACATGGTAAAGGTCCTAGAATGTCAATGGCCATTCTTTCCCAAGGAGCACCCACAAGATACTGTTTCATTGGGGCCTTAGGATTTTTACAAGGTGCTTTCTTTAACATCCTGTCTCATTTTATACCAAAAATATCTCTGTTTAATTTTTGACAGAGTTTTTCTTACACCAAGATGACCACCGGTCACTGTGTACGTTATGAACTTGGTTCAACACGAACCTTTTAAAATTAGCTGGAAGAACAATATGTAGATCATAATGTTCCATTATAGCTTTCCCATTTTCTATATAAAATTCCATTGACAAGAATTAAAGAATTTAATCTTGACCAATAAAATTTAACTTCAGGACTCATATGGGATACATCTGCCCATGTGGGTTTAACTTCATCTATTTTCCACTGAATAATTATACTGATTACATCATCAGATAACTGAGATTCTGAAACATTTTCAAAATTTATTTCTTTAACTGGGTTGTCCTTCTCATTTTGACTACAACAATAATCCTTAGATCTGGTACAAACTCTTACTATTTTAGAATGAACAGGGAGTACATCAGGGTTTTTCTCTGGACCCTTACTATTAAATTTATTATGAATGACATGACTTTTTACTTTGTGGCACGTTTCGTCACTTGTCATATTTGGTCTCCTATCTTCATTTATACAGCTAATACTAGGTTTTGTAACTGACAACTCTGCACTGACATCTTGAACATTTCTGCAAGATTCACTAACAGTGACACTATCATTACAATTTTCAACTGTGAAACTGTCTTTATGAGTTGGAACCAATTCATAATTTATTTCTGCTCTAGCACAGTGAGGGCATTCTTTATTATAGCAAGGACGTCGACTTAGGGCGTCTGCATTATTATGGGACCTTCCAGCTCTGTGCTCAATCTTAAAATCATAGGATGCCAGGACCTCGAACCAACGAGCTAACTGACCTTCTGGATTCTTAAAATTAAACAACCAACTTAATGCACCATGGTCACTTCTAACCTTGAAGTATTTACCATATAAATAATGGTGAAAATGTTTAATAGAGGCTACTACAGCTAGTAGCTCTCTTCTGGTAACACAATATTTTGTCTCTGATCTACTGAAAGTTTTACTAAAGTAACAAATCACTTTTTCTACTCCATCTTGGAGTTGGGATAGCACTGCTCCCATACCAACATTACTTGCGTCAGTGTCTAATATAAATAAATCCTCCCTTGTGGGGTAGGCTAAAATAGGTGCACTAATTAAGGTATTCTTTAATTCCTCAAAGGATTGTTGACAATCGTCTGTCCAGACAAATTTCTGGTTTTTCTCAGTAACCTTATATACAGGTTTAGCTTTATCAGCATATTTTAAAATAAATTTTCTATAATAGGATGTTAATCCTAGAAAACTTCTTACATCTTTTATACTCTTGAGCACTGGCCAGTCCTTAACTGACTGAATTTTATTTGGGTCAGTAGCTACTCCACTTTCGCTAACAATGTGACCTAAAAATTTAACTTCTGTCTTTAAAAAGTTACATTTCTTGGGATTCAGCTTTAAATTAGCTGCTTTTAATCTTTGAAAAACTTCTTTTAAGTTTTTCATATGCTCCTCTTATGATTTTGAGAAAATAATAATATCATCTAGATAAACTAGACAAATTTTCCAGGTCAACCCTGATAAAACTGCTTCCATTAATCTTTCAAAAACAGGGGCACTATTACATAGACCCATGGGCATTCTTTTGAACTGCCAGAGACCACCTCCTGGAAATGAAAAGGCTGTTTTCGGTCTATCTTCTTTGGCTACAGGAATCTGATAATATCCTGACTTTAAATCGACGGTTGAGAAGAACTTGGAGCCTGACAATGAATCTATTGTGTCATCTATACGAGGTAACGGGTAGGATGGACGTAAAACCAGTAAATTTACGGAGCGAAAATCAATACAGAACCTCCAACTGTCATCTGACTTCTTCACGAGAACAATATTGGAGTTCCAGGGACTTGTAGAGGGTTCTATAATATCTTGCTGAACCATTTTCTGAATTTCAGCTTCAGCATCTTTCATTCTAGCTAGGGGTATTCGTCTGGGTCGCTGACGTACTGGAGGGTGATTTCCAGTATTTATGGTATGTTCAACTAAATCAGTTAAACCAATGTCCTCAGAGGACTTTGAGAATATATTACTATACTCTATTAAAAGGTATTTAAATTTTTCACTTTGATCTTTATCAAGATTAACTTGACTAGACTCAAATACTTAATGTAAATAATCAGGTAATTGTCTCCTCTTATTTATTGTAGCTTGGCCACCAGCCACATTATTAACAAACTCAGAAGTTTGAATATCATCTTCATTTACTTTATTGCAGGTAGCAATAATTGTACCCTTATATAAAGTGCAGGGCTCATTATTTATATTTATTATTCTCAAAGGAATATTATACATCTCTGGATGTACAATTGATCTTGCCACCAATAAACCATTTTTCTCCATTAATTTCTCATTAGGTTCTATTAAACCAGCTAAACCTCTAAAAATAGGTTCATTTGACTCCCCAGAAACAATCATTTCTGAATTAGGAGGCACATTTACTGTCTCTTGTATAGCAACTCGATAACAAGATTTAGCACTACTTGCATAATGAAAACATTGAATTATCTCCCCTTTAATTTTCAACTTATTTTGACTTAACAAGACATCACAGTCATGAGTCACAAGAAAATCCATCCCAATGATTCCTTCATTGGAAATATCAGCCACTAAAACATTGTGGTGATAAATATGATCTCCAAGGCAAATTTCAACATCAACATGTCCTATAAATGGTGCACTATAACCAGTAGCAGTAATTAAATTAATATTCACAGGATTCATTTTTGGAAGTAATGAGGGATTGATTTTATTAATAAATTTCTTGGCCTGGCTCCGACCCCTGAGTCTGACCTCAACTGGTTTCCCTGTTGATAGTAATTAGGTTGATTCTGCCTACTTTGACCAAAATTATTATTTCTTTGATTAAAATATCTGTTTCCCTGACCAAAATTCTTATTCTGGTTATTATATCCTCTCTGGCTATTTTTATAATTCCTCTGTTGATTACCTCCCCCTTGGCTATTCCTATTCTGGTTTTGGGACATACCCTTAATATCTCTAGTTAAAGATACCAGTTCCTTCTTAAAATCAGACAACTCGTGCCTTAATGATTTAAAATCCTCCCCCTTGTCATTGTTCAACTCTGTATTAATTGTATTATTCTCATTATGAACTGTATCTGCCTGTCTAACCATGCGCCCTTTTTGTCTCTCCGCTAACTTTAAGGTCTCTAATCTTACAGCTAGTGTTTCTGCTTCATGAATAGATTTAGGGTTAGACTCCCTATGTCTTAGTCTCAGATCAGCATCTGGTAAAGCATCAATGAAATGTTCTAGTGCTAATACACTAGTTATTGTGGATGGGGCACTTGGATAACCTTGCCTAGTCAATTTCTTAATTGACTGAGCCAACTCTGGTAAACTTTCTTCTTTCCCTCTCATACGGGTCTGGAGTTTTGCTCTAAATAATTCTGATTTTTCAGCTGAACCATATCTATTGTCCAAAACTTTAACCAAACTATCATAATCTTTCCTAGACTCTTTATCTAGTTCATTTAACAGAGCTCTTGCTCCCCCTTTTAAACTACCAGCCAAATATAATGATTTGGTTGCATAATTCCAACCATTTATTTCAGCTAAAATTTCAAATTGAGCTAAATATTCATTTAAATCTTCATCTCCCTCATACAACTGTGGCTTCATGGTTACATTACTAGACTTGGGTGAATGGGTATGGGAATTGGTCAATCTTGGAACTAGAGGTCTATCCAGTACAGCATAGTTTTGATTTACATTACACATTTTGTCTTTATTAAATAAATAAATATTATCTGTGTTTTGTTGTTGTTTTTCTGTATTTTGATTTGTCTTAATATTTGCACCAGGAACTGCTTGCCCAACACCTGATATCACTTCAGATATGTTTTCAGTGTTTACCATGTCACTCATGTGATTACTGTGATTTACTAAATCTTTATTTTGTTCCATCATTTTATAAATGGTAGAAATATTTTTCTTGTTTTCATGTACATCATCTTCAATTTGGCTTATACGACCTTTAATAGAAGAAGTTTCATCTTCAAAATCTCTTTTTATCTGATTTACAGCACAGATAACTTCTTTTTGACAATTAGAGAAATCATGGGTTATCTCCCCTAATTGGTCATGGAATAAACTTTTAAGGTTTTTTAATTCATTAACAAATAAATATTGTTCTTTGTCATGGCTTATTGTCTGCTCTGCACAGTCAACACTATCAGCCTTCTGTTCATCTAAAGGAATGGTTATTTCCCCATCATTTTCCTCTTGGAAAGAATGATTAATAGCTATAATTACTTCTCCAGAATCATCCATAATGTACTAAAATATTAATATTCTAATTCAATTTAGATTTTTAAAAAAATTTAGTGAAACAGTTTAACATCAATCAAATATACTAAAGCTTTTTCAGTATAATTTTTAATAATCATTTCAACCACCAAAT